GGAACCAAGAAATGGGTTTCTTTTTAAAAAGGGAGATGGAATAGAGAGAAGGGAAATGGCCTTTTAGGGGTTGAGATCTCACCGAAGTATCTTCCCAAAAAAGAATGGAGTTTCCGAAGCAAGCATCGTACCTTACACAATTGATGAACTTAGGGAGAATGCCAGAGATAGCCTTCCAATGTGTTGTGAGCAAAGCCCTTCGGGATACTCCTGCATCCCAACCTGATTCAGAACAACCATGCTTTTCACTACTTCATGCCACAACCTCTCCCTCTCCAGGGGCCACCTCCAAAGCCACTTACCTAAAAGAGCCTCATTCTTGCTCACCACGTTCCCTAATCCTAGACCTCGTTCTTCCTTACTCCGACACACCACCTCCCACCTAATAAAGTGATCTTTTTTCTCTTCACCAGGTTCCCATAAGAAATCCCTCATTAGTTTTTCCAACCCCTTTGCCTCCCTTTTAGAAATTCTAAAGACTGATAGGAAGTATAAAGGCAAGTTGGCTAAAGTTGCTTTAATCAAAGTAACTCTACCCCCCTTCGGCAAGCTCACTTTGCTCGCTTGCCTCCGCTTTGACAAGACCCCCCCTTTCAACTAATGTTATGCATCTTCATTCTTTTTAATATAAAAGATTTTTATCAAAAATAAAGAAAAAATGAGATCCCCCCTTCCTCTTCATCCTCCTCCTAACCCCCCTCCTCTTAAGGAGGCTTACGCCTCCTTGTGTTCGGGAGGCTTATGCCTCTTACGTTCTGAACTACGCCTTGTGTCACGCCTCCGCGTTTTAAAACATTGGTTTAGTGTTAGCAAGGGTCATGGGACAGAAAATAGAGGGATGGTAGTTAAGTGTTTGTACTCATTCAGTTAGAGTCCACGTAATGCGTCCAAGATAAGTCAGTCCATGTTGGTTTGTTATGAAGAAAGTGGTTGCATTGAGTTGAGACACATTGCTTATGGCGGGGCCAAATCTTTAGGAGTTAATTGTAATTGTGGGTCAGTAAGAGTATTCAAGTTGTAACACTTCTTAATCAAATTATTATGAGAATTATCCCTTTGTTAATTGAGAGTTATCTCTTTGGAGGTCTTCATTTCCCTCGAAGTAGACAAATTACAGTTACATCCTACCTGGGATTGTAACATTCTCACTTACAAAAACTGAGTCTCTGTAGAAATAAAAAACTTGTGCATCAAACCATCTAATTTATGGGTTCATTCTGTAGTGATCCCCTAACCAAAGAGCAATATGGACAAAGTAGGGATTTAAAAATCAGTCTGACTTTTGAGCTAGGATTATCTGTGTCAATGAAGAGCTCATCGACTTTAATGGACCGGTTGGGCTGAAGATTTGTAACCATCTCAAAATCTCCAAACAAAGTGAGTCAAGTTATTATTTTCAAAGATAAATGTAGCTATTATTTTCAAAGATATTTTTATTTTTTTTATGTCACGCATTTGTTCCTTATTAGTGATCTAAATATGCTATTAATTTTACCCCCTATCATCCACGCTAGTAATTAAGGTTACTGCTGCTCAATAGTTGATGGTTATGTTGGCCATTCTGGTGTAAAACTACAAGCTTGCCATTGGTGTGACCATGGTTCAAAGTATTGATACTCTTTATATGCAAATTTTGCAAATGGAGAGTTTCATCTAACTAAAATCATTACTTTTTTTAATATTTTTCTCTAACAGTTTGAAGGAGAGTTGTCTAATCATACATTAGAATATTAAAAAGTTAAAATCTCAAAACTCTTTATATTTCCAATATTGGTAACCCAAAGATACGATACCATATGTCCAATATGGGATGTATCGCATTGATACTTTGAAACTTGGGTATGAGTATAACTGCTACTGGAAAAGGGTGTTAGGTGTCACCCCATGCTTAAATTTGGCCTCCACACTGTCAGACTCACAATATACTAACATAAGAGGCTGATCAACATTTCTGTTGATTTTTTTTTTTTTTTTCCATATGAATGTCATGCCATCCAACTGAATACAACTATTTAAAACTTAAGAATTCATTTGAAATGCAGTTGCTTCGTGGACTGAAGTACCTCCACTCAGCAAACATTCTCCATCGGGACCTGAAGCCCGGAAATCTCCTTGTTAATGCAAATTGTGATTTGAAGATCTGTGACTTTGGTCTGGCACGCACCAGCAGTGGGAAGGACCAATTCATGACTGAGTATGTTGTGACCCGCTGGTACCGAGCCCCAGAGCTCCTCCTATGCTGTGAAAACTATGGGACTTCTATTGATGTCTGGTCTGTTGGTTGCATCTTTGCTGAGCTTCTTGGCCGCAAGCCTATTTTCCCTGGCACAGAATGCCTCAATCAACTTAAATTGATCATTAATGTCCTTGGCAGCCAGCGTGAGGTTGATCTTGAATTCATTGATAACCCAAAGGCTAGAAGATACATCAAATCACTCCCATATTCCCAAGGGAAGCCCTTCTCCCAATTGTATCCTAATGCCAATCCTTTGGCAATTGACTTACTGAGCAGGATGCTTGTCTTTGATCCAACAAAGAGAATCAGTGTTACTGAAGCTCTCCAACATCCATACATGTCTCCTTTGTATGACCCAAATTGCAATCCTCCTGCTGAGGTCCCAATCGATCTTGACATAGACGAGGATCTAGGGGAAGATATGATTAGGGAGATGATGTGGAAGGAAATACTTCATTACCATCCGGAAGCTTCTTCAACCAATGCATAGCTCATGGAAGAATGTTTTGTTTGGTAGGAGAGGCTATTGCTGTGAAACCAGTATTCTCTTTTTCCTTTTTATTTGACCTTTTCTTAATTTGAAGCACGCATATTAGGCTTGTAACAGTAATGTACAAGACTCGAGATTTTGTTTTAAGAGTTGTTTTATGAGTTTGAGCTTCCTCTGCATGATAGGTGGCCATAAATTGTATATAGGTGTGGTGTTGTATGTGGTATTGAAGACTTATCTCCCTTTGTACATCCATGGTGAAATTATGACTGTATTATGAGCATATGACTAATAAACTCTGATTATCTCTTTATATATCTTTTCCTTTTGGAATGTGTTCCATTCAACATTATACACAGACACGTATATGTATGATCGTTTCATCATCTTTCTCTTTCGGAATTTCCATCGTACGTTTTACATGCATACATCTATGAAGTTCCTAAAAGGACATAGAATCTCTCTAGCAAATTATGCTGCTACCAATTTAGGCAGTTCTTCCCTTCGGTTCACATAAAATGTTGCAACTTGTTGACTGTGAATCAACTGAATAGCAAAATGGGTAATTGTGGGAGCTGACTGTCAAGATGTGTTCGGGGGAGCAATGTAATTTTGAACTCGCAGTCTCTTTCATACAGCTATATTATAGGTTTTGTTCACTTTAGATGCCAGTGATGGTCTATTACACTAATCTCTTTGAACAAGGCGAAAAATTTGTGGGGTGTTCTTCAAATTGCTTTTTTTTTTTTTTGTTGCGAGTTCTAAAAACAAATCAAAACCACATCTGGGTTTTAAAAAAAAATCTGTTCTTAAAACAAAAACACAAAAAGCATGCTCTTGGTCCTACATGTGTCTTTTGTTTCTAAAACTGAAAGCAACACTTTCTTGAATTTCGGATTTGAGGAGTACAGATACAAATATGTACAGTACAAATATACAAAATAATATAAAATACAAGGTTTTTCACTCTACATATTTGTATTTGTACTCTTTTCAAATGGAGCCTAAGGCTGTGTTTTGTTGCAATGAAAATAAATTTATACTGATGCAAAATTATGACAGTACAAATGATTTGAGTGTAAATTTTGACCTATTTTTGTTTTAAATTGTAACTTATGTTGTTTGATTACAGTACAAATGAATTAATTAAGGCATGAAGCAGAATAAAATAAAATCCAAAATAAAATTAAACAAAAAAATTGCATTTTTTACATTTGCACTCTCATGCATTTGTATTAGTGCAAATAGCATTTTTTACATTTGCACTCTCATACATTTGTATTAGTGCAAATAAATTTGCACTGCAACCAAACACAGCCTAAACCACATCAACATGTTTTTTCATCCAGTGGTTTGATATGATGTTTCATAAATCATAATACCTATACTGAAGTTTTTTTTTTTTTAAACAATAGTTTCAGACCTGAATTGTTTTTTTACCAAATAACCAAGTTGCTTTTGGTTCTCAAGTAATGACACGGTTCAAGATTTTTATTTATTTTTTCTTTTCTAAAATTTAAAAATAAAAGAAAACAGAAACATTCATGTTAGATTACCCCCTTAACCGATTATTTCCAAGTCAGAGGTACAGGACAGTTAAATAGGCATTTTTTTTTCGTCTCCTTTTTTTTTTTCTGGTGGGACTTGGTCGGTAAATTAGATATTACAAACAGATAGTCATTCTACAAAAGGAATTTCCTATTTTGATGGGCGCACATATAATATGCTTACTTACATGAGTATGAATGTATGATAATGTGTTTTGTGCATGTGTGTTATAAATTCGGTAGGTTAGGTTCCAACTAGAGCCCAACTTAGCCGAATATGGTTGGGTTATTAAAAAAAAAAAACAAACACACACAAATATGATTCGGTTGGGTTAGGATTTGAGTTGAGGTTTCAACACATTGAATTGGAGTAGGTTGACCTCAACCCAAGCCTACCCGGGCCCCAGTTAGACGGGTCATGGTTTGAAAAATCTTGGTTCAAATTGTAAGTGCTGGGCCATACTTAAGATATTTTTATGTGGGTTTTGACGAGACTGGGGATTTGAGGCCAGCATAATTTTAACCGGTCAAGGTGCTTCACTAATTAATTTTTAAGTTTCTGTTGGAATGTCATCTAGATATCGTAATCTGTACGTTGGCCTTGGCCCTTTAATTGTGGTGGTCCAAACCCTAAAAGATGGTTAAAATTAGGCTTAGGTTTCTATCATTTTCCTCCGTCTGCCCCTTTTTGAACAGAGGCAGAGGGCCTGTACATCATTGATGGGCTACTGTTAAGCCCATTCTATGTAAATTATACATGGGCCATCCTAAATCATGGTTCAAAGTATCGGTATGATATATGCCTGATATCGGGTGTATCGTATTGTATCTTTTAAAAAAGATAGGCGTTTTGGACCCTTAATTTTTTTTAATAATAAAAAATATCTTATAAGCTTTTCAAAAAACTAAAAAAAAGTATGTACCGACCGTTTCTAAGTATCGATACAATACGACTGAAACTCGTATCGTATCGACACTTTGAACCTTGTACTAAATAGGCCGTAAGTAGAGTCGTAATTGGATGGCCATGTGGAACGACAATCAAGAAGAGTAATGGGCCTCCATTAGACATAAGATCTTAGATAGCCTGCTATAGATATCAGAACGCCATTAGACAGGTCCCAATTTATAAATGAGTCGGTTTCGGAATGAATCTACCTTGATTTGGATGTGACCCTACTAATGTTTGAATTCGAATCGGATTTTATCCGTCGTTCCCTAATGATGATAACCATTAACCACTAGAGGAGATGTTGGTGTTCAAAAGAAGGTTGAGACTTGAGAGTTGAGACATGATATGGAGATAGGGAGACTGGAGAGCTATTAATGAGTCTGAGATCCAAAATAGTGGACAAGAACTGCAGTGATGTGGTTGCACTTAAAATAAACTTCTGGCACTAGACTAAGAAGGCCTGTCTTGGAGTTACTAGTGGCAACACGGTGAAAGGATGCCAAACTCGGTTGGGTGGTTCAGTGGTTGTAACGCCTACTTCACTGGTCCAACCAAGGTCTCCAGTTCACAGCAGCTCGGTTCTCAGGCCGGATTGGTCCAGTTGGAATGACTTGGCATGGGTTACACAACTCTCCAACATGTTATTTTATTTTCTTGTTTTTAAACTATTATATATATATATATATATATATATATATATATATTGTATAGGAATCCGAATTTGTTCCTCACAAAGCACACCTCACAGCCCCACCCCACTATGTATCGGGAATATCTCCTATGAATTACAATATAAAGTACGGGAGATGTTCTCAATATATGGTGGGATGGGGCTTTGAGGTTGGTGTGAGGTGCGCTTTGACAGTTTGACACCTTTCTGGTTTCAGTTTCAGAAACAAAAAACACTATCCAAGCAAGACTACGTTGTCTATTCTTTCCTCTAATGCTTTTTCAAAGCAAGTGTTGTACTTGTGTTTCGGAACTACATGGGAGAGCACTTCCAAAGCTGGGAAAAAAATAAATGTACAGAAGAATATAACCATGTGATATATTGAATTTAATTAGTTACCCAATAAGTCGTTTTACAAAGTGAGAAACTTAAATAATAGTGTCAACCGAATGGCTCGGTTAAACGAGATGCGGTTTCGAACCTCACTACTACCCACTCTAAATATACCTTTTGAGAAGAATATAATGTTGCTAAGTAGGGTATTATACCATGGAAATTAAATTGAATTACGGCTGCCGGATAGTGGGATAAGGAGGATGCACGCCAGACCCACTAACTTACAGAACACAGAGTGTCTGCTTTTTTAAGCCCATAACCTCTCTTCAATGGGAAAGATCACTGATGTCAAACTGGCCTCTTCAATCTCGATGGTGACTGGTGACCTTTCTCTACATGGTCATTGGTGAGTTTCGCCTTTTTACCCTAAAACTTTGGCCAAAATCCTCTGCAACTGATCTGCCTAAAAAATCCTTTATCCACTTGCCCACCCCCCAACAAGGGGGGGGGGGAAGTAAAATGAAAGGACAAATCAGTTGGCTGAAAAAAAAAAAGAAAAGGAAAAAGAAATGCCCCAAAAAGTGGTCCCTGCAGTGGCAACAGTGTGACCCGGGTCCATTCTGGAACCAGCCTTTATTTAATTCTGCCAAAGTAAGCTGAAATTGGGAGTCATGTCTTAGATCACAGACTAATAATAACAGCTGTTTTGTGCCGTCGTACTTTGATCTGGTTATCCTGGACAGATTTTGGGAAGTTTGGATTAGCTGGCAAGGCCTAGCCTCGTGACATGCGGTCCAAATGTGGTCCAGATTGGTCCAGCTTTTCCCTCTCCCATGTTCTCACATTCTGTGCAACTTTGTTATTACCAGAAGGATGGAAATCTCCCACCCCAGATTGGTACTCTTCTTATCTGTAGGTGGGTCAGGTTGTCTCAGCCAGTCTTTTACAAAAACTATCTTTTTATTTTTCTCAGACTCCGGTGCTCCAATTTGCTATCAGCATATACCCAACTCTGTAGGAATCTGAGGACTTTGGTGGGTTAATTACCATTGGCTGTTTGGTTGCAGAGATGTTTTGACAAGGTTTGTCAATTACTTAAAACTTCTCTGTTTGGTTTTTGCAATCTAATTTTATTGTATCTCACCTTTTATGTAATTACTTTACCAAGGAAAAGTGGAGGAAAGAACAGTCTTTTGGTAAGATGGAATCTCATCTCATTCTCTTTGAGTCTTGACCACAAAATTCCATGAGGCAGTTGCTAGTCATTCTAATCTTTAATATTTTGTGGGCCGACATTTTTATTTTTTAAACTACTCGCCTACCAAGAGACTGACTAATCAAGAATAAACTATAATCAATTGAAGACACTCACTTGAATTAGTCATGCATAATACCAAAAAAATAAAAATAAAAGTTAGTCAGTACCCTAAGTATCTCAGGAGGTCTTCGTCTTGTAGTATAATTAAAGGTGTTGAAAAGGTAATTAAATAAACATGGTTAGACCTTCTTTTCATCTCATTGGCAGTGATTGTTTGGTGAGGTCTAATAAAGCTTTTAGTTGATGCAAAAATTGAAGGTTAAGAATTCAGGAATCAGAAGTGGAAATTGACAAGTAACATGTGATGTGGGTTTAATAAATTCAAGGAGGAGAAAGAAAAAAGACAACATGTGTAATGTAGCTTGATTTTGAGGCAGCCCATAGAATTATTAAAGCAAAACGTGTTAATATGGCTCCTCCATCCTTAACCAGATCAGATTGACAGATTAGCCAAGCTTTTAGTGCTTCTGCAGCTTTCCTGGTTTCCCAAGTTG